GGGACTACGATCTCTTATCGAGGGCCTTTGCTAAAACGCCCATATTCGAGGGACATGACTATTTTTTGAGTCAACAAGTGAGATTACCCTAAGGTGCATGTGTGTGAATAGTGTGTTTGATTGCATGCATTTTGTCTTTTGAATTTTTAGGTTATCTACTTGTTGTTTTTATTTTGCCATATATCCTAATTACTAACATTTATACAAAAGCAATAGAAATGCAAAAATAAATCCTACACTATTACAACCATATTGAAATAGCAAGAAAATATAAAGACAAAATAAAAATAAAAAAGAAGAAAATGAGCTCTTTCGATTCAGGCTGAAGCATCCTTCGATTCTGCACTTTTTGACCTATTTCGATTTGGGCCTGGAGTCAGCAAGGTTTTGTCCTTTGATTGGGAGCTGGAAGTTAGCAAGGTTTTGTCATTCGATTGGGAGCTAGAAGTCAGCAAAGCCACCTTTCTGGTTACTTTCTTCGTTTGAGGCCTGAAGTCAGTGTGAGATGCATTCTACTGGTTCAGGCTTCTTGCTGACTCCTTCGACTGTAAGCATGATATGCCCTTAGGTTGAAATTCAAAAGGCTTGAGCAGTTAGCCAATCGAAGGGTATAATAAAATTGTCTTAAATTCTTAAAATGCAACATTCAAGTGTAACTACAGGCCAGGGGTTAGCACAAAATTACTGGGTCTCAAAGTCCAAAGCCTAACTAGTCAGAGTTGAGATTTTCAGCATATGGGCAGTCAGAATCGAAGGTTAAAACATGGTCAAGCTCCTTATATGAAATATCTACATTTCTCTTTATTGGCATGTGCACATGATATTTAAATAAAATAGATTTAAGTTTAAAGGGAACTTACCTCTTGAAGTTCTTAAAGCGAAGGAAACTGCAAGTGTCTTCCTTGATGGTGAAAGGAAGTTCGTTGGGGCCTTCCTGGGACTAATCCAGTTACTACTTTGTGCAAGCAGTCACTGAATCGAAGGAGGGTGTGTGAGTGGATCGAATGTTCTTTCTATAATAAGTAACAAAATGAATCAAAAGGTTACTGTATTGTAGTTAGGGAAGTAGGTCGAAGGCTAGTTAGATGGCCACTTGGGGGGTGAATCGAAGGATTCACTTAATGTACAAAGGGGGTTGAGTTTTTTAGAAGTGTTTGAAAAAAAACGTTGGGAGGTGTTTGAGAGTTTTGAGAATTTTCACAAGAGTTCTCTTGGAACTCTTCAGGTGCCCCTAACATGTGTGGTGGAGGCTCATATTTATAAATGGCCTTGGCTGATGTTTTAGGAGAGAAAACAAAAAGTTTAAACAAAAAAGGCATGTTGTGTTTGTAGCTTTCGAGGGACAGTGTTTGTATGTCATTTTGGTGCAAGGAATAAGGTAGTGTTGCAGGACTGTTATGCAACAATTTTGGAGTTTTATAGCCAGCGTATTAGGCTTGAACCTGGCAGCGCATGGGACTTGGTCAACAAGTACCTCTGGGTATCTCAACCTTTTGTCTTGACCCCCTAGCCCTATCCTTCGACCAGACTCTTCAACAATCATTTCTTTTTTTTCAAATTGAAGTGTCTTTCGAATGGCTCATGTGGGTATTCTTTGAAGGGGCCCAAATAAGTGTCTTTCGACCAGGCCCTTCATGGGTTCCTTCGAATGGTCCAAATAATGCTCCTAGGGTGGGTCAGCAAAACATGTCATTCGATTGAGACATTCAGACATGTCTGACAAGTCCTTCGAATGTGCCACCATGGTACTTCTTTCGCACGAGACAATGGCATAATGTAGAATTTGTGTGTTGAAGCAAACTATTTTCAAGGGGAGATACTGCCCACTCAAACTTGCCTGCAAAGGAGTCACATGGCCAAACGAAAGGGTGTATGTAGGGGGTCCCTGCTTTGTGACCTTATGGAAACTGCAAGAGAGCTCTGCTCAAACGAAGGCTTGTATGAAGGGATTCATATGCCCAAGACAAAGGAGGTCTGCAGGAGGCAAGATGTGCAATCAAAGGAAACCAGAGAAGAGGCCTTTGCCTCCTGAATCGAAGGACATTAATCAGGAGGATTTTTGCCTTATGGATTGAAACTAGTTGAAGATAAGTGTTGCCTTATCGAGGCTTGCAACAAGTTGTTTCAAAGGGTGACTTTGGCCTTGTACATGCTAGCATGGTGGGGTAATTCTGCCTTGTAAATTTTGGCTAACATACATGAAAGAAGCTATATGGCCAAATGAACGATTTGTACGAAGGGAATAAAATGTTCAAACAAAAGCATGAAATGAACTTGTCCAAAAGCAGTCTAGTGCCCAAATGAAGCAGGAGATGAACTTTCCCAAAAGAAGTCCAATGTTCAAACGAAGGGTGCAACCAGAGCCTGTATCGAAGGAGCCAAAGTGCACAATTGAAAGATGTAAAATCGAAGGGAACTTGTTTTTCCTTCAATTTTGTCAAAGAGAATATTTTCATCCGCTTTTCCCTTTTTAACAATTTCCTCTTTATCTTTATGCTGAAAGATCCAATAGTACTTGTGTAAGCTTTAATTTTTAAGAATCCTTTGTTAAAAATGCCTTGAGAAATGAGAGGGAAAATTTTGGGGTACAACAGCTGCCCCTGTTCGATCTTCTTAAACCTGAAGAGTTAGATTGGCGAATCTGCCATTCGTGACTTGATGGTGGAAGATGATTGAATACTAGAGTACCCATAAATTTGCACTTTGATGATGTTGTGGCTGATTATGTAGGGAATGGGCTTAAAGATGCCATTTGGAGAAATGACAGATAGTTGTTGGAGATGGGCTTATATATGCCATCGGAAGGTGATTGTTGATAGAAATTAGACTAAGTTTAAGCTTGACTTTAACTGGAAAAAAATCAGAATAGATCTTTGGAGTGATCTGTCTGAACCAGAGAAAGTGTCTACCAGAAAAGAATCATGATAAATCTTTAGAGTGATTTATCTGAACCAGAGAAAGTGTCTACCGGAAAGGAATCAAGATAAACCATTGATCGATTTAAACTAAACCAGCAGAAGTCTTGAGTTATCTTTAACAGGAAAGAATCATGATAAATCTTTGAAGTGATTTATCTGAACCAAAGAAAGTGTCTATCGGAAAGGAATCAGGATAAACCATTGATCGATTTAAACTGAACCAGCAGAAGTCTTGAGTTATCTTTAACTAGAAAGAATCAGGATAAATCTTTGGAGTGATTTATCTGAACCAGAGAAAGTGTCTACCAGAAAGGAATCAGGATAAACTATTGATCAATTTAAACTGAACCAACAGAAGTCTTGAATTATCTTTAACTAGGAAGAATCATGATAAATCTTTGGAGTGATTTATCTGAACCAGAGAAAGTGTCTACCGGAAAGGAATCAGGATAAACCATTAATCGATTTAAAATGAACCAACAGAAGTCTGAAGAAAGTATTCATCATGTAGATAGTCACCCAACCCTATTTCCGGAATTGATCTATAATTGCTTTGTTCACAGGTAGTTGTCATGTCTTGTCGAAAATTTGTTGATGATAATTTTCTGTTGATTGATCTTTCCTGAAAAGGTAAAGAGTTAGTTGTATGCAATGCCATGATGTATGAAATACATGGCGTAATGGTGTTTCTCAAAATAAACAGGATTACAACATATGCATTTGTGTTATCGATGTTATGATGTATGAATGCAATGTGTGCACATATTAGTTGTTCTGCTGCAATATTGTTTAGACTGGGGAAAATAAATACCTAATTGCTGCTGGGAATGTGGAGTGTAAGCCTTTGTTGGAATTGAAGTGTTGCCCTAAGTCTTGGTCTTTCTTTTATAAGCCTTCAGTTGTCCGTGGGCTTCAAAGTCTCTGCCCAAATATTCCTTAATCCACGAGCTGATTATTATAAAGAACATCTCCTTGAATCTTGGAATAAATCTTCAAGTATCCTAAATTAATTCACCAACCAATTTTAAAAACTTTTAATGCTGTTAGAGATTTGATTCACTTGTTCTAGTTTACATCTTCTTGACCTGCAAAAATGACTGAGATATATCTAAAAGGAATCTCAGAAAATCAAATCAAATCTTGTCAAAAAATATCAAACAACAACACTTGCTTCACTAGACCAAGATGTCATGACATTGTCTTCGACATCTGGTTGAAAATCACATAACAACACATCCTGTTATAACAAACCATGTTTTGCCAAAATTTAGTCAGTCACAAAACCATGGTACTAACAAATAAAGAACTTTGGATCATAGAAACAAATCGACATGTTGAATGTGAACAAAGAGAAATAACAACACACCAATAAGTCAGAGGCAAAGAATCAGCCGCAACATACCTTAAACGTGAGACCCACAAATTGAAAGTCCCACTGGAATCATAAGACAAGAGTCAGATGCAATAAGCACAGCTAGAAACAGACAATTGTATGGTGGCACGTGGATCACACACACCGCCGAGTATTGTGAGTGGGGGCGCATGAACGTTATTGTGAATGGCACGTGACATCGTATTGATGGGTCTTCTGGCGACGCAACTTTGACGGGTGGTAAATCAGAGACTTTCAACCACCACAAACAGCTGCGTGACACTGTTTAGAGACGACGACAAATTTGAATAACACAGGCTCTTGTACACTTAAGAGTAAAAAATGAAAAAAATAGGATTTAAGACCTAGCTCTAGATACCATGTTAAAACTGTATTTCTTATATTATTATGAGTAGAAAATACACACACTCACAAACCGTTATTATATATCGTAAAAATCAATTAAAATAAAAGTCAAATAATTATAAAAATTTGACGGTTACAATTAACCTACGCTGTAAAACAGGTCGGTATATATAATTAAATTCTAAACCCAAAGCACCGAATTCGGCATTACAAGTTGCAAGCAAAACCTCGTGGTTTCCGCAGACAAAAGTAACTCAACTCCCAACTGTTCCCTTCCCCTTGTTATCTCCGCCTCCCCAAACAAAACCTCACTCCCTTCTCTCAATCATCTCCCCACAATCACAATGTCAGTCTCCCGCCTCCACCTACAGCTTTTCACACCCCCGCACACAACCTTCCACCACACCAACCACCTCCCATCTCCCACCCTCTCCTTCCCCCCTCGCCGCTTCCCCATCATCCGCACCTCCTCCACAACATCCCAAATAATAACCTCCGACTCCAACGGAGTATCACCAGGACTCCCACCAGATCTCGGCTCAATCGAAGTCGACGCCGTCACCGAAACAGAACTAAAAGAAAACGGCTTCCGTAGCACCCGGAGAACCAAACTCGTCTGCACTGTCGGACCCGCTACCTGCGGGTTTGAACAGCTTGAAGCTCTTGCCGTTGGAGGAATGAACGTTGCGAGAATCAACATGTGTCATGGGACTAGAGAGTGGCATAAAACCGTTATCGACCGTGTTCGAAGACTTAACCACGAGAAGGGATTCGCGGTTGCGATTATGATGGATACTGAAGGTAGTGAGATTCATATGGGTGATCTCGCTGGTGCTTCTTCTGCTAAAGCTGAAGTATACATTCATTTTTATCTTCTTATTCAATCTCATTATTCAATTTTCAATTTCCATTATTCTTGTTCTGATGAATTTTACTCTCTGTTTTTTCAGGATGGTCAGATCTGGACTTTCAGTGTTAGGGCGTTTGATTCTTCTCTTCCACTTCCACATCGGACCATCAATGTTAACTATGAGGGTTTCGCCGAAGGTTAATTTCAATTTCATCACATTAATGACATTCTATTTCGTTAAGATGAACCATTTTGTTTCTGGTTTTATTTTGTAAATTGTTGTGTTGTTGTTAATTGGTTTATTGTAAATGTGTCAGATGTAAAGGTTGGGGATGAGCTTTTGGTTGATGGGGGGATGGTTAGGTTTGAGGTAATTGAGAAGATAGGCCCGGATGTGAAGTGTCTTTGTACTGATCCTGGCTTGTTGTTGCCAAGGGCGAATCTCACTTTCTGGAGGAATGGTAGTTTAGTTCGAGAAAGGAATTCCATGCTCCCTACAATATCTTCAAAGGTTTTCAACTTCTTTATCTCTTTTTATAATTGTTTTGTTTGGATTAGTGCAGTGTTATCTTTTCTGGTGGAAAGTTACACTTTTGGTGGAGTATGACATGTGTTTTTGTCAAGGAGTTTGCCTTGAGCTAAGAACCAAAACTTGATATTGATGCGGTGTTATTATTCAAACCATGTTCACGGTTGAGAACAGCTTATGCACATACATGATACACCCCAATCATATTCCTGTAAATGAGAGTTTAGAAAGGTTATGTGGATGGTTGATAATTATTGCATACTAATTCTTTTGGGCTAGTTCACCTAAATCATGATTTTTTTTCGAACTGTCTACCACCGTTGTTGTTTTTGAAACGTTTTATTATAATATAATGGACTAAACATGGGCCCTCCGTAGGGATCAATTGCATCTAGCTACAACTCCATATAAAAGCTGAAAGTTCAATAAAACTATTTGAGTGAGGTCATTTTTAATGGTTTCTCCACGAAATGCTTTTATATATTGTTCTTCCCCTTTTAATTGTAACATCTCAGTTTTAATCAAAATTTCTCATGCAAGGCATATGTGTGACTTGACATCCCCTTCACTGTCTTTGACGGTCTTTGTCTTTGAAGTTATGACCAAACCACCTTAGGCAAGTATCCGTTGTTTTTCATCAGTAGATGTTGGTGCGTTAGTCAACTTTATGCTCTTTTCGCACTTCACTCCCCAACATTCATTGCTAGAGAGCAATGCTAGTCTGCTTGTTGCTCCATAGTATATTTTCTTTTGTTTGATATTCACTTTCTGATCATGAATTATAACTAAAGCGTTTACGCATTGGATCAATCCAGCTTGAATCTTATGTGTGACTTGACATCCCCCATCACTACATAATGTATAATGTATCCAAGATACCTACACCAAACAACTCACAGTATGCAGCGTTTCCTAACCCCCCTCCTGCTTCAGGCAGTTACTGTGGTTCAGTTGTTAGTTCTATTGTATGAATAACTCTCTTGTATCTCTTAAGATTTAAAGTTTTCCTTTTTCAGTTTCTCTATATTTTATGAACTCAGAATTCTCAGAACTTCAAATGCCACACATAAATGAAATAAACAATAAAAAATGATTCATTAGCAATAATAGAAAAAGGAAAGGTATAGGATGCACAAACATAGAAAAAATCAACAAAATAAAGTACATGCAGAACAGAGAGGTGTTTGTATGAGATTTGTCTGCACTGGTTTCTTCTTTTACTATAAATTTTTTGCCGGAGATTAAAAATTTAGAATATATTTTATCCTACAGAATCTATGGTCTAACAATGAATGTACCTGTTAGTTTTTTTTTGAAAGGCAAATAATAATTATAAATAAAAGAATCAGGGAAGTTCTCAACAGAGTACAAATGTGCTAAAATGGCACAAGAAGTTTGTGATGTTTCTAAAGCATATCACAGAAAAATCACCTAATTTTGAACTACTACTATAATAAACCGCGTGGGCCTTGGGAAAACATGCTGGCTATGAATAGGGCAGTATTGTCAAATAGCGGCTATAGCGTAGCGGAATTCGCAAAGTTGCTATTGTTTTGTCGAACACTATTTAGTATAGTGATGTCAAGTAGAGGCTTAAGTGGTAGTTAGCGCTGTACCGTAGCAAAATTTGAACGAATCTCTACTCTCTGTGATCCACAATTGATAACACTAGAATAAATTAATTTTGCTAAGTTTGAAGTTGAACCTTATATTATGGCAAATTATTTACCATGGTTCATCATACATCTGCAGTGAATTCTGATATCATGAAAGCCTTGGGTTTTATGCTTTTATTATTTGTGTTGGATTTCAAATGCTTTATACATTGATGCTAAATTTCCATTAGTAAAAGAGATATCCGTCCTAATTAATTTATTTTTCTTTTATCTCATTTTCCATATCCAGGATTGGTTAGACATTGATTTTGGTATTGCTGAGGGTGTTGATTTTATTGCCATTTCATTTGTCAAATCTGCCGAAGTTATTACTCATCTTAAAAGCTATATTGCTGCAAGATCTCGTGACAGGTATGAACCGGGAACTCTATTATTTTAAAGTATCATCATATGATTTCTAAAACTATTACCATTATACAGTATTGACATGTTGCACTTAAATATTTACCCGTTTTTTATATTATGGAACAACAATTGACAAGTAGCACTATCAACAGTGTTCACAGATTATGGGATCATATCTGGTTGAGTTTCAAATCCTCTATTAGACCTCAATGTTCTTGCATAATTTTTCTCTCATCCAAATCTGTCCCACTCCAATATTTGTAGTAACTTGATAATTGATCCTTTGTGTGAGCCTTCATGTTGAGTTTTTCGTCCTGGTTAACAAAATAATTTCAGTGAGGCGCTGAAGATAAATTACTTATCTGAACCAGAAAAGCACTGAAGGTGCTATAGATGTATGCCTGACTTGAGTGCCTTTTCTCCAGCATCAGATAATCTGACCCTTCAGTTCAGATGCCTTAGAACTCTATATGCATGTACTTTTGGAACATTTAACTACACTTCCTTTCTGGTTTGAAATTCTATGTAAATTTCAGAGGGTTGAGCAGCGATCACCTTGTCAGAACCAGAAAAGCACTATAAGGTACCACATAAGTGCAACTGACTGAAGGGGCCTCTCTTAATACACCAACAAGGTTCTGACCCTTTCTCTGGTGCGGGTGTCTCACCCCTGCACTGCACCTTAGACACACCTTTTGGCACTATTCTGTGTTTCCTTCTTGCTTTTTGGTGTTTAATTTATATGCTATTCTTTCTTTTCCTGGATTGAGAAAGAGATCTATTAAGGAAGAGAAGAAAGGTACAAAGAGGATAACCACCTCTCAAAAAACAAAAACAAAAACAAAAAGAACCTAAGAGATTATAGGGCATGTAAAAAGCAGAACAGTTTCGCTGCACATTTGAAGGGAAAACCCCCCTTCTGAAAACACCATGAACAGAACACTGAAGGATGGCTTAAAAAATAACACTATCCCAAATAAGATCCACATCCAAATAGTATCCTTAAAAATTGTAGCATTCCTCTTTGGATATCCGGCTGTAGACATCAACAAAATTGGGAAGGAAGAAGAAGGCCACAACATTTTGGCTCTCTGCACAAGCTAAAACCTCCAAAACATAAGTTAGGACAGACCAAAGATTCTCCAAAAATCTCGAGCAGCTTATTCCAAAGAAAAACAGTAGAAGGAAAATGCCAAAAGGGATGAACGGCGGTTTCCAATCTAGAACTGCATGTAACACACTTGTTGGGGGACAAAGCACCCATAGATCTGCACTGCTGTAATATGTGAATAGTGTTAATCCTGATAAGATTAGCAGCTCATAGGATTTTACGTACTTTTATCGGTTTTGGATTTACTTTATACTTCAAAGATAAAAATATGCTAATAATTAAAGATAAATTCATAATTAGAATCATAACCTATGAAGCCTAGATACCCGAAAGTTGCTAAAGTATCAATGCTGTACCTTTACTCAATAGGGATACATGTTTGTTATACACATCCAAATCGTATCTACCAAATTCTCCAAAAACTTATGTTAAAGCTTTTTATACAGCCTTGTTTTTCGTCATTCTGTAAGAGGATTTGGAGTACAAACACACTATTCAATCTATGATGATATAAAACAAAAGAGGGACATGTTTGTGGGATATTTAATGAGACATACATGATCTATTTGATGATGGTGGTGAATGACTTCTTGAATTGACAGAGTTGTCTCTTGGTAAATTGGACTTGGAAACCATGCTTTTCTGAATGACGAGAATGTGGAGATGAATATGATGCAATTACAATTAGTGTTAGACCATAAAATGTTATCAATTTAATAGAGTCAGTAACACTTCTTTTACACATGACTGGTGATATCTTTTGCAATATTTTGAACTCGGTTAGGAAAAAAAAACATTTGTCTTTGTGATTTATTTACTAGGAAAAAATAGAATTTGAAACGGATAAGAGAAATATAAGCTAATGTGCTTTAATTATGATGTTTGGTATATTTTTGTAAGTTGTGATCATCATCAGTGTATATAGTTTATAATTGAATTTAATGTAAATGTGCTGGCTTATTATCTAAACCAGATTGTATTTTTAGTTTTTAAGAATTTTCTGTTTGCCTTTATCCTTTCTGTATCATACATACCCATGTGAATCAGTTATCCGGGCTTCGGGCTTCATTAATCATAATAAATTTATAAGCAGAAGTCATGGATTTTAGTTAAACACACATATGAAACAAGTCTAAACTAACAAAAGAACCGATAAGTTAAGATAGTCTAGGAGAACAAGATTAGAAGGGAAACAAAGTTAACCTGATATATGATAGGCAACCGGAAGTAAAATTAACAGCATAGTAGTACCAGAACACTGAGAACAGACAGCATGAAGAACAGAGCATAGTTGCAGGGCGTTGCTGGAAAATGCTGATGCTTAGCTATAGACTGATACAGGTGAGCACTGCATTGGAGGATTCACATCCAAACAGGAGGGAGAGATGTGTATTTCAGTAGCTGAGAACCAAGCAAGGGTTTCAATATCAAACATTTTATTCTGAGCAATGAATGATGAAATGCCATTTTTATCCCTTAAAAAATGGCCTTGATATTGCTCTATCCAGTTGTGTTGCAACTTCTGCGGTTTTGGTTGCCATAAACAGAAATGACTCCAAAACACAACATGATGCATTAAAAAGCAGCCAGAGGGCACTGTGTGACGCTCTTCACGGCCATAGTGGTGCAATAGTGTGCTGTTAATAACTATGCTTTATATTCTGACAATGCTAATATTGATAGTCGAGACTGAACTGTGATGTGATGAATGTGGTGATACAGTGATATTTCAGTCATTGCAAAGATAGAGAGTATTGATTCACTGAAGAACTTAGAGGAGATCATTCAAGCATCAGATGGAGCTATGGTGGCACGTGGAGATTTGGGAGCTCAGATACCTTTGGAACAGGTTCCTGCTGCTCAACAAAGGATTGTTCAAGTTTGCAGGCAAAGGAATAAACCTGTTATTGTGGCCTCTCAGCTACTTGAATCCATGATTGAGTATCCTACTCCTACAAGAGCTGAAGTAGCAGATGTTTCTGAAGCAGTGAGGCAACGCGCTGATGCTTTGATGCTTTCTGGTGAGTCAGCAATGGGCCAGTTCCCTGACAAGGCCTTGACTGTATTAAGGAGTGTCAGTTTGAGAATCGAGAAGTGGTGGAGGGATGAGAAACGCTATGAAGCTACGCAACTTCCCTCAGTTGGGAGTTATTTTTCAGAAAAAATATCTGAAGAAATCTGCAATTCAGCTGCAAAGATGGGTAAGCAGTCTTAACTTTCTGCCTTGTCTATTTCCTAATTTTGTTCTTGCTGTTTAAACTGTTATTGCTATATATCTTATTAATTGAGATACACATTAAAAGTTCAAAGTTAATTATAAGCTGGTGCACTGCTTTCTAATTATGTTTGATAATCACAGTAATTAATGTGTTTAAAGAAACTTATACGTCTTTTTTTATTTGATAATTCAGCATCGTTGTCTTTTACTTTCATACAATAATATAGAAGTTTGCTGTGTTGTTGACGTTATTCAATTAAGAATCATGGTTTTCATATTTGAAAAACTATCATAGATTCATAATATTGATGACTGATTAACACACTTCATTCTTGTATAAATATCAATCTGTTTATATGTTCAAGTTAAGCAAATATCTTGCCTTGTTATGTTTTCGGTTTTGTTTCATTTGGGTTGTATAGTGTCTTAATATGAGTTTAAACTTTGGCAGCCAATCATTTAGAGGTGGATGCACTTTTTGTTTACACGAAGACAGGGCACATGGCATCTCTATTGTCACGTTGTCGACCCGACTGTCCAATCTTTGCTTTTACTACCACTCCGTCTGTCCGAAGACGTCTGAACCTCCAGTGGGGCTTGATACCTTTCCGTCTTAGCTTCTCCGAGGACATGGAAAGCAATCTCAACAAAACATTCTCATTGCTAAAGGCCAGAAATTTGATCAAATCTGGTGACCTTGTCATTGCTGTCTCAGATATGTTTCAGTCAATACAAGTGATGAATGTTCCATAAGAACATGTTCCAAATTGTTCCAGATTATATTATCTATTTGCCAGGGATGCTGCTAGAGTGCGAAAATGGAGCAGAAAGACTAGATAAGTTAATTGTGGTTGTCATTTTATATCTCTATAGGATACACTTGAGTCTGCGAGAGTTTTATGTTTATGCTACCGGAGTTATTTATTGTAGAATTTGTAGTGAGTGATATATTATATACTATACCTATTTCAATCTGATGAAAGCAATATAGTGCAGTATTCACCAATTTAAGTTGTAAGGCGCATCTGCATTTTCTGTTAGATTTGTATCATTGTATTAGCTTTCAAGCCATGTTTTGAGTATAATGTGAAATAACAATAAGATTACACGTTAGTTACTTAACATTTTCTTTAAGCTATAATGTACGTAGTAGTAGTTGCATTTTGAAGAATGCACACTACTGAGCATTCTGTCATTTTCCAAGAAATTGTTATGATTCATAAACTTATTCTTCCAAGAAACTAGTTAGATATTATCCTTGCTTTCACAACGTAACGTTTGCTTTATAACATTCAACATTCTTTGCTTGTCCAGTTTAAGTGGTTTTTCTTAAATTTATTATTTTAGGAAATTGCTAACTCACAAGTTAAGAAATTTAATGTAAAAATACTTTTTTTAAACATTTATTTGTACATTAATTTTTTAAAAGTTTAAAATTTGTATTTTTTAATATAAAATTGGTGATGTTTATATTATTCATTGTGAATAATTTATCTAATGAATAAAAAAGTAATTACATCGGTAAATTTGCGAATAAATCCCCACAAATGAGTTTACTCAACTTGTAATTTTACTTATCGAACTAATTTTGTTTTGGTTATTAGATAAACTACCACCGATTCTTTAACAGTAACTTGAAAAAACTCATAATATTTGAATTCTTTTAGGTTAATTGAATAATAAATATATTAATTATTTCATTGTTTAATGAATTTAAAAAGAGAATTTTTATGTATAATAATAGTCGGAGGAAATATTTTTCCTATTTCAAAATAAATATATATTTTTAATTAAAAAAGGTCATCTCAAATTAATAGTTTATTTACTTTTCTAATACAATATTAATTAATTTTTATTAATTTATTTCTAATAAATATTATCTGTATTATTTTTAAATTATAATAATATATAACAATCAATAATAATTAAAACTAATTTTATAAAAATGTTATCTTTATTAATACAATTTTTTAAATATGTGTGTAACAACCTTAAATTAACTTTTATTTTGAGACGTAGCATAACACATTTTTCTAAATAAGAAGTAGTTTCCTAATAAATTATGTACATAACTATGTCATCCCAACCTAATTTTACCGACAAAATACAGACAAAATGAATATGTCCACAATTCAACAAGAATTTTTTAGTTAAAAAGCAATACAGTATCGGTATATACCGTGTTGTCAATATTTGTATCTTACAAGACATTTTTAAGGCATAATATGGATAGTAGAAATAACATGATTTGATGGCTTTCAAATGATTATTTTAGCGATTAATAATAAAAGTTTAATGAAGATGTACGTTAGAGATGGTAAAATCGACAGTCCTGTCCCATCCTATCTTAAGTCTGTTAAAAAAATAGTAGATTCGACAAATCTATCAAATAGGACTGAGCATAAAAATATCATTCGTTCTGTTAAGGTGACAGGTTGACAGACGGCGGGCTTGTCCGTTTATTTTATATATATATATATATATATATATATATATATATATATATATAGACTTTTCACTTATTTTTTAAAACAATTTTTTATAAAGCATTTTTTTAATAAAATTTAATTAAAAAAATATTACATATATTTACAAATAAATGTATACAATAAAACCATCAACAATTAAACATACTAGAATTAACTAAAAAATGTCGAACTTAGGACAAGCTGAACGAATAATCACGGCGGGCGGTAGGTTTTGGCGGAGCGGACTTTGGTGGACGACGATCTTTAGCAGAACGGACTTTGGTGGGCGGCGAATTTAAAATCCCAACTCAATCCGCCATTTTTTACGGGTGCGCGAGCCGACTCGGCGGATCGAGTCGTTTTGCCACCCCTAATGCACAATGCCAAAAAGTTTTACACTATCATTTAATAAAAATATATCATTCTGTTATATCATAAAATAATTTAAAATTTTCAATATAATTTAGCAGAATACATCATCGTTATTGATTGACAGTGTAAAATTAATTTATATTATTAATGCAACCTCCTTTTTCTCTAATAATAATGTGTAAATATTTTTAAGTCGGGGTATCAAATAACATTACATGAAAGTATCATTTTTATAGGTTTGCTTTTAAAATTTCTTCATAAATATATGATATATTTTTTTATGTGTTTAAATTTTTTTATAATGCTAGTGTATTCCGGTGCAGAAGACATGTGAGTATGGACTCTTCTGATACAGTGGAGCTGATTTCTAAGTTAATACTCCAACTCATTAGTTAGTAAAATTCTAAAAAGAGTATGTTATGGAGGATGAATGAGTTTAATATAGGATGACTGACTTTTAACCATTTTTTCACGAAAGCATTAGATTGCGGGAGATCGTCAGATAAGATTCAAAATCGATGATAAGCTAAAGATCTAGTTCTGGTGTGTGATCTTCAGACAAGGATCTACTTGTTTATCCTCCTCTATGCAATAATACTCTCTATTGGGCTTTTGGTATTGGGTTAGTCTTGCTGACCGTTTTGCCGGCCTGAAACATAGTGAGTAATTATTTGGGAATTTCTCACTGCACCCTTATACCTTCTCTTAGGTCCCGTGCGAAAATTTTAAAATGCCTCATATTTTCAGAGATATATCCTCGAAGGCAAAATTTCTTCATTTTATCTAAAGGTTTAATTCGGAGATGTATCTGCGAATGGGTAGGGTATATTTGCAGATACATCTTCGAATTATTTTTTTAATACAAAAAAATATTTTGGAGATACATCTCTGAATGAGGCAAATCTATTTAAACACGCGCCAGACTCTCCCCATTCTCCTTCTACATTTTCAGTTTATAATTTTTTTCCCCATTTGAGCTCGTGAGTACAATAGTTCAAGTTAACTTTTGAAGCAACTTCAGAACCTTTGCTTGTATCTTGCCAATTCTAACTCCCTCTAACTAATACATTTAACACTTTACACCCTCATCGACACTTTAGGCCCTAGCTGCATAGGAGAACCTTGTTGTACCCTAAAATTTACCATCTTCATTTCAACTCTATTTGACTTATACTTCATTATCATATGCATACATACATATCATCGGTTCTATTTTCAATGGGATAAAGGCACTTCTCTTAAGCTTCATCAAGCTACAGAAAACAATTGTTTCGTTAATCAATGAAGCAAAGCATGGACTCAGGATTTCAGAATTGAAATGCACTCAACACGTTTCTCCAGGCTAGTTAATCAGTGATTGATCAAGTCCTTATCATGCCAAGCTCCTATGTGTTCCAACACGCCTCGGGTTACAAAGAAAGTCAAGCGTTTCAGTTGATTTGAAACAGTTTTGGCTGTAAGTCAGCATTTCACAGTTCAGGTTCAAAAATTCGTAACTTTTTTGCTGTGCAACATTTTCGAGTGGGTCTTTGGGCATAAGAATCTCCTAGACATCCTTTCCATTTCATATTTTTGGGTCGGAGTCAATTCTGTATGGAAGATCTTCGAAAATGCAAATACTTTGAAATTATATGGTGAAGCGGATTTCCAGTCAACTGTTCTCAAATATTGCAAAAATAATTACTTTATCGATTTTCAACATTTCAGGATGATTCTCGTAGCACGACATTACAAATTTCGTCATCTATAAATTTTCTTCAAGATTCGAGTTCAAATTATGCTCATAAAGTTTAAGTTTATGGCCCGCTTCTCAAGTTGAACACGAAAATATGATGAAAAAGTTGCACAACCAAATTTGACATGGAAAAGAGAGGAAATTTGGCTCAAAAAACCATTTTTCTAATTTCAAATCTCAAACATGACTTAAGCCTCTCTCTATATATTATTTTTTTTCTAAAATTCAAAA